GATAGTGAGTCAAATCCACATTATCAAACATGCTCACAATTCTAGTTGTGGGGTTATTATAATGCGATGGTCAATCCCATAATTTGTTGGTAAAAGAGTAGCCCAAGAGTTGGTGGTGGGTGGTATTGACAAACTTCCTTTCCTATAGTCTATCACTGTTAAATTAGGGACAGATAGCCCTCCTGTAGCTTTGTGTAAACTTCAAAGCAAAACAAGCCAGATATGATAAGTATGTTTCTAACCATGGCATGTCCTAAAAGAAAAAGTGACTTACCTTCAACTTTACTGTGTTTTATGGAACTTAGCTGTACCGGATGAAGAACTTTGTATAGAGTTTCTAAAAGTTTAGGGTAAAAAACTTAGTAATAATTATTCAATTATATTACATCTTTAATTTCTGGCTTTTTGTTTTCTTTCACAGCCCTTCAACAATTGGTTAGATGGTGCACGAGAAGATTTGGTCGATATGTTCATTGTTCACACGATGGACGAGATCCAGGTGAAAGAGTGTTTATGATTAACTGTTGATTCAATATTATGTACTTCAACCAGAAATTGATCTAAAGATATTTGAACTTTGTTATATAATTTAAATTCTATTAAAGTTATTTTTGATTTGCAGAAAAACAAGTAGTTTGCATTTAATTTAACAGAGAAATAAATAATATTAATTAGTTTAACCAAAGAATAGGTGATTAACATGATGATAATGTGTTAAGATACAAGACTTCAAGCAGTTTTTCTAACATTGATGTGAAACATGGTATTATGTTTTTATTTCACTTTAGCTCTTTTAATTAATGATTTTTTTTAGGAACTTCAGTGCTATGAGTAACTATTTTAATGTATTGGTTATGTGTAGTTTTTTCATATTTTTGTATATAATGGTTGAAATGATAAATTTTAAATGGTTTTTAGTGTTTAGTACTTTTGACTTCTTTTTACATAAGTCATTCTAATTAGGTACAAAATATATTAATATGAAAGATTAATTAAATAGGTTAATGTTCTTTACTATAAGTGCTGAAACTCCTAATATCATTTTGTTATTTCATCATTTATCGGGTGTATTTTATTCACTCGAGTGTAAACGTTAACTTTAGTTTACTAATTAAAACTTTAGTTTTTAGTGCCAACTGGTGGTGTAACATTTATGTAGATTGTGAATGCTGTATTTACACAGACCTTGGCTGTCTGCTACTTGGAGAACATAGTTCAAACTTATAACCAGATTAATGAGAATATATCCTATAGAAAACAACATTTTGATGTGAAATAAAAACCAAGTAGAAGAGTTTAGTGTTAAATCATGTGAATCTTTGTGTTAAAATTCATTTATTACGTATTCTAATTTAATTGTATATAATGCAATATTTTGCTTAGAACTATAATTATATAGATGTTAATCTTTAGGTGCTTCCCATATACTGGGTGGCTACAAGCAAACCCAACTAATCAGCATTCCAGTGTAATAGAATTCAGTAGAATAGTTTTTAGTGCCATCTAGTGGTATAGTCATTAAGTCTCAGTCAGTAGAATAGTTTCTAGTGGTATAGTCATTAAGTCTCAGCCAGTAGAATGGTTTCTAGTGCCTTCTAGAGGTATAGTCATTAAGTCTCAGCCAGTAGAATAGTTTTTAGTGCCTTCTAGTGGTATAGTCATTAAGTCTCAGCCAGTAGAATAGTTTTTAGTGCCATCTAGTGGTATAGTCATTAAGTCTCAGTCAGTAGAATAGTTTCTAGTGGTATAGTCATTAAGTCTCAGCCAGTAGAATGGTTTCTAGTGCCTTCTAGTGGTATAGTCATTAGGTCTCAGTCAGTAGAATAGTTTTTAGTGGTATAGTCATTAAGTCTCAGTCAGTAGAATAGTTTCTAGTGGTATAGTCATTAAGTCTCAGTCAGTAGAATAGTTTCTAGTGGTATAGTCATTAAGTCTCAGCCAGTAGAATGGTTTCTACTGGTATAGTCATTAAGTCTCAGCCAGTAGAATGGTTTCTACTGGTATAGTCATTAAGTCTCAGTCAGTAGAATAGTTTCTAGTGCCTTCTAGAGGTATAGTCATTAAGTCTCAGCCAGTAGAATGGTTTCTAGTGCCATTAAGATTTGTTCTCTTCAGTTTTATTTGTTTCAAACAAACACTTTTATTTGAAAATACTAAGTTATAACGTGAGAATTCAACATTCAGTCATTGACTTTGAAGATTTAAAAGAATAAAAATGATTGAAAAGCTTTGATAGACTGTTTAGTCAGAGTATTCATGAAGAAACTTTATAGAATGGACAGCAACTACCTGTTGTAGAAACACAAGTGTAGAGGATGATATTTTGAAAGTCTTCAGCCTTTCGTCCTATACACTTGTGTCTCTACAACAGGCAGTTGCCGTCCATTCTACAAAGTATCATAATTGAAAAGCCTATTAGTAAAGTTTTCCATCATGTCCTGTATGATATGAGGCACCACTATAAGTTCTAAAGATTATTTATTAAGAATAATTCCTAATAAGGTGGGATTTCCTTTTTCTTTTCTAAAAATGTAATAAGTTTCTTATTTTTTGTTATTATCAGAATAATACTTTTATACATGTATTACCATAATGTATTGTTTTATTTTACCATTAGGGCTTGTTAGATGCCCACAGACAATTCAAGCAGACACTTGGGGATGCAGACAAAGAATTCCAAGCTTTAGTAGAATTGACGAAAGAAGTAGAAAACACAGCTAACAAGAACCAGGTTCCCGGTGGTGTTGATAATCCATACACTGCACTAACTGCTACTGTAAGTTTATCATTTAAAGTTTGTATACCTTAAATAAAAATTAAATTTAAAGAAATCATGGTGTTAATAGTAATGTATGCATTGCTTCAGTTTTTTGTCATTAACTAGCTCCTCTAATGGAGTCCTAGGTTCACTTTACACAAGAGGAAGTAACCTTTTCATTGTTCTGTCTGTTATATAGCGACAAGCTAACCAACTCCTCTCTTGTGATTTCTTAATTTCCCTTAACTCAAGCCAATAAAAATTTGAATCAATTTTAAGTTAAAACAGAACAAAAGTGTTTAATTTTTTTTTTTTTTCCAAAGAGTTTTTATAGCACAAGTTATGCTTAGAATTCTAAGTTTTGGAAGTTTGACCAAACATCTTATTTATTAAGCAAAATATTTTGTGTGTATATTTACATTTCAAACCAAGCTGGTGTTCTTATAAGTTTTAAGTTTAAATCAATAAACTTAGAATGTAGTTTCATGATTTTTTGTCAAAATATATGTTTTTTATTTACTTCAGGACTTAATACAGAAATGGTCTGAAGTAAAAGAACTTGTGCCACAGCGAGATCAAGTCCTCGAAACTGAGTTGTTGCGTCAGCAGTGTATCCATTTTACCAAACATGTAGCTCTGTTAGTAAAGTAATAAGTGGGTTAAAGTGATTTAAATTTATCTTGGAGTATTAATGAGAAATGTTTTAAGACATTACTATGCCAATAAACTTTGTGAAGGAAAAAAACAATTAATATGAAAATATTGGATATGGTATAATGTATAGTTTAGTCAAAGTGATTCTTAATACTAGTTGGTTATGTTGGTACTAGTCTCTTAAACTTTTAACAAACTATTGAGAAATTAAAATATTTTTGTTGTTGATTCTCTCTCTCCGAGATAATGGTGTAATTGATTAAGACTAAATATATTTTAAAAAATGGGCAATTATACTAATATTTCAAGAAATAAACTGTATGGATATTTTATGTACGTGGACAGGCTGACCTCAGTGGGTCATGAGAATTTTCATGCCGAGCTGAAGCTGTAAATGTGTACAAAGTCCATTGATGACAGGAATCTTGGAATATAGAGAAGGGGGGGGGGTTAAGAACAAGCTGTTTTAATCATATTTGTGTGCTTAATAATTAGAACCACTGAAGTAACATCAAATAAATGCAAGGCAGAATTTGCTGACTTTATTGGTGAGAACTGTCCACATGGAAATAGAAAATCTTTCTCAAGGTGGCAATTTAAACACTTTTACTGCTACAAATAATTAAAATTAAAATTATTAAATGAGATTTGAATTTCATATAAGATTTTGTCAGAGGTACATTACAAAAATAAAACTGTCAAATTAGACCTGCTTCGCAGCAAGGGAAATAATTCCATGATCTGTATTTCTTAGAGGTAAAAAAAGAAAAAGATCAAGCTAATAAAGCAGCTTGAGAGAGTCCAGATGCACTAAACGCATATGTGCTTATGTTTTTAGTTACATCTGAGAGACAGAAGTTAAAAGTCAATTTGTTTGTTAACTGAGGAATTGTAAACACAATGAATAATGCATTCTTTGGTTTAGAAAATATGTTAACAAACTTGGTAATAATAATAAAAGTTAAGTTATATGATGTGATTGTGACAGCTCATGTCCCAAAGGCAAATATTAATATTCAAGGCCGTGTGTTGTGGAAAGTCAGAAAAAACAACAACAGATTTTCATCTTTAACTTTTTTTCAAAGCCAATGAAAGGCTACGATGCAAATTTGCAGAAGGAGCAAATGTGGTGGGACCGTGGATTGAAAGTCAGATGGATATTGTAGCAGCACTGGGAATGGGAATGCAAGGTACACTGGAGGATCAGCTTGGAAAGCTCAATGAACTCGAGCAAGGGGCTATACAGTATCAGCCACATATGGATGAACTGGAGAAATGCCACCAGGTGGGTTTTAGTGAAGCTAAGGATGTGTACATATCATAATGGACTGAAGAATCCAAATTCTTACCATATACATTTTATAAATACACAACAGAATGTGGCACAGAACAGTTAATCTGATAACGAACTGTAGAATTGTAGCTAGATAGGTTACCTAAATCAAGTTGTTACAATTACTGTACATATGATGATGAACTGTAGAATTGTAGCCAGATAAGTTACGTAAATCAAGTTGTGTTACAGTTAACTGTACATATGATGATGAACTGTAGAATTGTAGCCAGATAAGTTACGTAAATCAAGTTGTGTTACAGTTAACTGTACATATGATGATGAACTGTGGAATTGTAGCCAGATAAGTTATGTAAATCAAGTTGTGTTACAGTTAACTGTACATATGATGAACTGTAGAATTGTAGCCAGATAAGTTACATAAATCAAGTTGTGTTACAGTTAACTGTACGTATGATGATGAACTGTAGAATTGTAGCCAGATAGGTTATGTAAATCAAGTTGTGTTACAGTTAACTGTACATATGATGATGAACTGTAGAATTGTAGCCAGATAACTTACGTAAATCAAGTTGTGTTACAGTTAACTGTACATATGATGAACTATAGAATTGTAGCCAGATAAGTTAAGTAAATCAACTTGTGTTACAATTACTGTACATATGATGATGAACTGTAGAATTGTAGCCAGATAAGTTACGTAAATCAAGTTGTGTTACAGTTAACTGTACATATGATGATGAACTGTAGAATTGTAGCCAGATAAGTTACGTAAATCAAGTTGTTACAGTTAACTGTACATATGATGATGAACTGTAGAATTGTAGCTAGATAAGTTACGTAAATCAAGTTGTGTTACAATTACTGTACATATGATGATGAACTGTAGAATTGTAGCCAGATAAGTTACGTAAATCAAGTTGTGTTAGTTAACTGTACATATGATGATGAACTGTGGTTAACTGTAACACAACTTGATTTACGTAACCTATCTGGCTACAATTTTGTACATATGATAATGAACTGTAGAATTGTAGCCAGATAAGTTATGTAAATCAAGTTGTTACAGTTAACTGTACATATGATGATGAACTGTAGAATTGTAGCCAGATAAGTTACGTAAATCAAGTTGTTACAGTTAACTGTACATATGATAATGAACTGTAGAATTGTAGCCAGATAAGTTATGTAAATCAAGTTGTTACAGTTAACTGTACATATGATAATGAACTGTAGAATTGTAGCCAGATAGGTTACATAAGTCAAGGTGTGTTACTGTTAATTGTACATATGATGATGAACTGTAGAATTGTAACCAGATAAGTTATGTAAATCAAGTTGTGTTACAGTTAATTGTACGTATGATGATGAACTGTAGAATTGTAGCCAGATAAGTTACGTAAATCAGGTTGTGTTAGTTAACTGTACATATGATGATGAACTGTAGAATTGTAACCAGATAAGTTATGTAAATCAAGTTGTGTTACAGTTAATTGTACATATGATGATGAACTGTAGAATTGTAGCCAGATAAGTTACGTAAATCAAGTTGTGTTACAGTTAATTGTACATATGATGATGAACTGTAGAATCTTTACCAAGTAAATTATGTAATGAAAAGGTAAAGTTGGATTTTAGTACTTTTGTTTTGTTCATGAAGTGGACAAATGTTAACAGGTAAATTATATAGATCCATAAATTGTCGATTGGTATTTTGTTTGTACATTTCAGTCAAAGCCAGCCATCAGACATATTGGGAACAACACAGGTATGTTAATGTGTTTGTACCCAACCAGTAAAAGTTTATTTAATGAGTAAGAATATCTTTTTTTGCTAATACTGAGAAAAGCTGCATTTCTTTTCACAGGACGTTCAAGAAGCCATGATTTTTGAAAACAGTTACACTCAGTATTCGATGGAGGTACGAAATAAGTTTTTTGTTTGACTGTAGAGCAGTAATAACACTCACAACAAAATAGAAAGTTTTTGTAATTGTTCGTAATGCTACCCATGTATGATTTTCCATTCTTAATCTTGTTACGTCGTTCAGTCAGTGTTATTACACATTTCTCAGCTTGTTATATTGTTCAGTCAGTGTTATTACACATTTCTCAGCTTGTTATATTGTTCAGTCTGTGTTATTACACATTTCTCAGCTTGTTATATCATTCAGTCTGTGTTATTACACATTTCTCAGCTTGTTATATTGTTCAGTCTGTGTTATTACACATTTCTCAGCTTGTTACATCGTTCAGTCTGTGTTATTACACATTTCTCAGCTTGTTACATCATTCAGTCTGTGTTATTACACATTTCTCAGCTTGTTACATCATTCAGTCTGTGTTATTACACCTTTCTCAGCTTGTTACATCATTCAGTCTGTGTTATTACACATTTCTCAGCTTGTTACATCGTTCAGTCTGTGTTATTACACATTTCTCAGCTTGTTACATCGTTCAGTCTGTGTTATTACACATTTCTCAGCTTGTTACATCGTTCAGTCTGTGTT